TTCACTCTGGATTGAGTCACAATGTTTACTCTGGATTAAGTCACGACGTTTACTCTGGAATAAATCACAACGTTTACTCTGGATTAAGTCACGACGTTTACTCTAGATTAAGTCAAGACGTTTACTCTGGATTAAATCACGACGTTTACTCTGGATAAATCACGACGTTTACTCTGGATTAATTCACGATGTTTACTCTGGATTAAGTCACAACGTTTACTCTGGATTAAGTCACGACATTTACTCTGGATTAAGTCACAACGTTTACTTTGGATTAAGTCACGACGTTTACTCTGGAGTAAATCACGACGTTTACTCTGGATTAAATCACGACGTTTACTCTGGATTAAGTCACGACGTTTACTCTGGATTAAGTCACAAAGTTTACTTTGGATTAAGTCACAACATTTACTTTGGATTAAGTCACAAAGTTTACTTTGGATTAAGTCACAACATTTACTTTGGATTAAATCACGACGTTCACTCTGGATTAAGTCACGACGTTCACTCAGGATAAATCACAACGTTTACTCTGGATTAAATCGCAATGTTTACTCTGGATTAAGTCACATCGTTTACTCTGGATTAAGTCACGACGTTTACTCTGGATTAAGTCACGATGTTTACTCTGGATTAAGTCACGACGTTTACTCTGGATTAAATCACGATGTTTACTCTGGATAAATCACGACATTTACTCTGGATTCAGTCAAAACGTTTACTCTGGATTAAATCAAAACATTTACTCTGGATTAAGTCACGACGTTTACTCTGGATTAAATCACGATGTTTACTCTGGATAATCACGACGTTTACTCTGGATTAAGTCAAAACGTTTACTCTGGATTAAGTCAAAACATTTACTCTGGATTAAGTCACGACGTTTACTCTGGATTAAGTCACAATGTTTACTCTGGATTAAGTCAAATTGTTTACTCTGGATTAAGTCACGTTGTTTACTCTGGATTAAGTCACGACGTTTACTCTGGATTAAATCACGATGTTTACTCTGGACTAAGTCAAAACGTTTACTCTGGATTAAGTCAAAACGTTTACTCTGGATTAAGTCAAAACATTTACTCTGGATTAAGTCAACGTTTACTCTGGATTAAGTCACAACGTTTACTTTGGATTAAGTCACAACGTTTACTCTGGATTAAGTCACGACGTTTACTCTGGATTAAGTCACGACGTTCACTCTGGATAAATCACGACGTTTACTCTGGATTAAGGCAACACTTCTGCACTTCCTCTTCCATCAGTGTTCAGACGTCGATATTTGCCTAACCCTAAACGTGATGTGGCGTTTGACTAAATTGGGTTTAGTCCAAATTTACGGCGCACAGATTTGACAACAATCAATGTCGCCGTTTGAGATTAGATTAGAGATTTTCGGAACAATCACCAGTCATGGTTTATGTTCGCTGACGTTCAATGCAAAGATGTGAAAAGAATGTTTAATGGGAACAGTTTTTAAAAAGTCGTCGTTAAAGAATCAAGTATTTCAGGTCCAGATTCTGAAAGGCTGTCGATTCGTTTGTGTAGGACTTGAAATATCAGTGAGAATTATTCACAAATATAAAAGTATGAAACTACACCGCAGCTCTGACCCACTATAATCTGACTCTGATCTGGCAACCCGCCTTATGTGGCAACACAAGGAGATGAATAAAAGAGTGCGATGGATGTAGCTTCAGGGGATCCAGACTGAACATACGACAGTCTGAAATATTTACCATCAAGAGGCTGGAGGGGGAGGACCATGTGGCTCCTCTGGTCCTGAGGTCTTTAGTCTGAAGAGGTCAGTGGTCAGGGAGGGACCAGGGGCTAGGGACCAGGGGAGAGGGACCAGGGACCAGGGGCTAAGGACCAGGGAGAGGGACCAGGGGAGAGGGACCAGGGGAGAGGGACCAGGAGAGAGGGACCAGGGGAGAGGGACCAGGGGCTAGGAACCAGGGGCTAGGGACCAGGGGAGAGGGACCAGGGGAGAGGGACCAGGGGAGAGGGACCAGGAAGAGGGACCAGGGGAGAGGGACCAGGGACCAGGGAGAGGGACCAGGGACAAGGGACCAAGGGAGAGGGACCAGGGACAAGGAGAGAGGGACAAGGGGAGAGGGACCAGGGGAGAGGGACCAGAGCAGAGGGACCAGAGCAGAGGGACAGAGCAGAGGGACCAGAATAGGGCACAACCATGCCACTCATGTGCAGTGGATCGTTGAGTGTGTTTAGCTAAAGACAGTAGAGAACCGGAATAACAATAGGAGAAAGACAGGAGAAGTTTGAAAGAAAAGTGGTCCCTGTGCTCCTCAGAGTCCCAGCAGGAGGCCAGTCCCTGTGCTCCTCAGAGTCCCAGCAGGAGGCCAGTCCCTGTGCTCCTCAGAGTCCCAGCAGGAGGCCAGTCCCTGTGCTCCTCAGAGTCCCAGCAGGAGGCCAGTCCCTGTGCTCCTCAGAGTCACAGCTGGAGGCCAGTCCCTGTGCTCCTCAGAGTCCCAGCAGGAGGCCAGTCCCTGTGCTCCTCAGAGTCCCAGCAGGAGGCCAGTCCCTGTGCTCCTCGGAGTCCCAGCAGGAGGCCAGTCCCTGTGCTCCTCAGAGTCCCAGCAGGAGGCCAGTCCCTGTGCTCCTCAGAGTCACAGCTGGAGGCCAGTCCCTGTGCTCCTCAGAGTCACAGCTGGAGGCCAGTCCCTGTGCTCCTCAGAGTCCCAGCAGGAGGCCAGTCCCTGTGCTCCTCAGAGTCACAGCTGGAGGCCAGTCCCTGTGCTCCTCAGAGTCCCAGCAGGAGTCCAGTCCCTGTGCTCCTCAGAGTCCCAGCAGGAGGCCAGTCCCTGTGCTCCTCAGAGTCCCAGCAGGAGTCCAGTCCCTGTGCTCCTCAGAGTCACAGCTGGAGGCCAGTCCCTGTGCTCCTCAGAGTCCCAGCAGGAGGCCAGTCCCTGTGCTCCTCAGAGTCCCAGCAGGTTTCCAGTCCCTGTGCTCCTCAGAGTCACAGCTGGAGGCCAGTCCCTGTGCTCCTCAGAGTCCCAGCAGGAGTCCAGTCCCTGTGCTCCTCAGAGTCACAGCTGGAGGCCAGTCCCTGTGCTCCTCAGAGTCCCAGCAGGTTTCCAGTCCCTGTGCTCCTCAGTCCCAGTTGGTCCCTATGTCACTAACATGTCACAGATGTATTGTGAACAATAATGATGTTGAGTCTCTTCTGGTCTCAGTGCCGTTTGTGGAGTCCCCGAAGTACGCCCCCCAGAGGCGAGAGAGCAGCAGGACACTCCCCCTCCCCCCTCACCCCTTCCTTCGAGCCAACAGCGACAGCAGCATGAACCTGCCCGAGTGGATGGCCACGCCCAACGCCCCCACCTCCAACATCGTGTCTGTGCAGGTACACACACTTATTGTGTGTACCTGTTGGTACACACAAGTTGGTTCATATGGCACTAACATATAGAATAATTATTATTGTTTGTCCTTTTTTGTCTTTGTGTGTCTAAAATAGCGCTACATAAGTACGATGTATGATTATAGATACCATTGATACCAGACCAAAAGCTAAAAGAAAACCAATGTGCTTTAACAAAAGTGTGGATATATTCTGTCACGGTGAGATCCAAGCCCAGAGACTTCAGAGATTCTCAGATCTTTTCATCCGTGGGAAACAGCAGAGGTTTGAGTCAAAGGTTCTCCAAAGGCAGACGTCTCTGGTTCTCTCTTCAGTCCATGTTAATAATGCAGCGTTTAGTGTTTACCCAGAACTGAACCTGTGTCCAACAATCAAGCAACAGGGATTCAGGATCACCACGAGAGAGAACTACAATCTGAACAGAACCTCTCACACCAAGAGAGAGAACTACAATCTGAACAGAACCTCTCACACCAAGAGAGAGAACTACAATCTGAACAGAACCTCTCACACCACGAGAGAGAACTACAATCTGAACAGAACCTCTCACACCAAGAGAGAGAACTACAATCTGAACAGAACCTCTCACACCAAGAGAGAGAACTACAATCTGAACAGAACCTCTCACACCAAGAGAGAGAACTACAATCTGAACAGAACCTCTCACACCAAGAGAGAGAACTACAATCTGAACAGAACCTCTCACACCACGAGAGGGAACTACAATCTGAACAGAACCTCTCACACCAAGAGAGAGAACTACAATCTGAACAGAACCTCTCACACCACGAGAGGGAACTACAATCTGAACAGAACCTCTCACACCACGAGAGGGAACTACAATCTGAACAGAACCTCTCACACCACGAGAGGGAACTACAATCTCAACAGAACCTCTCACACCACGAGAGGGAACTACAATCTGAACAGAACCTCTCACACCAAGAGAGAGAACTACAATCTGAACAGAACCTCTCACACCACGAGAGGGAACTACAATCTGAACAGAACCTCTCACACCACGAGAGGGAATTACAATCTGAACAGAACCTCTCACACCACGAGAGGGAACTACAATCTGAACAGAACCTCTCACACCAAGAGAGAGAACTACAATCTGAACAGAACCTCTCACACCAAGAGAGAGAACTACAATCTGAACAGAACCTCTCACACCAAGAGAGAGAACTACAATCTGAACAGAACCTCTCACACCAAGAGAGAGAACTACAATCTGAACAGAACCTCTCACACCAAGAGAGAGAACTACAATCTGAACAGAACCTCTCACACCTCAGGCCTGTGATAACGATAATGACTGAAGAGGAGAACATTGCTGTAGGCTCATTCTCTCATCAGTTCAAATCTGTTTTATTGGGTTTTTTGACCCAAGCTGCGTCTGTTGCGTTCCTCCTGTTCTTGTAAATAGTTCATATTTGTCTCAGATATTTACCACTTATTGTTTTGCTGTTTGTGCTGAATACACTTTAATAATAACTGTAATATAGTAATAATATATATAATATATAACGATAATAACTATGTTTCCAACAGAACTGTGTCTTTATTCATCACAGTTAAATGAGTTGAAACGATGAGTTTAGAACGGTCACATAAACCTACAGTAGAAACACATGTAATGATCTCAAACAGCTTCACTCTTGTTTTTGTTCTGAAGAGGAGAAAGTAGCAGCGTAAATGGGACCGCTTTGGTTTCTAAACTCCTGCGAGATTGCCATCACGTGGTTGGGTGTGGGATTACAACATTATCTTCAAAACTCCGTAAGGGGAACGCGCAAGTGTACCACCAACTGTGGTTATGTAGGTCCAACTGTGGTTATGTAGGTCCAACTGTGGTTATGTAGGTCCAACTGTGGTTACGTAGGTCCAACTGTGGTTATGTAGGTCCAACTGTGGATATGTAGGTCCAACTGTGGTTACGTAGGTCCAACTGTGGTTACGTAGGTCCAACTGTGGTTATGTAGGTCCAACTGTGGTTATGTAGGTCCAACTGTGGTTACGTAGGTCCAACTGTGGTTATGTAGGTCCAACTGTGGTTATGTAGGTCCAACTGTGGTTATGTAGGTCCAACTGTGTGGATATGTAGGTCCAACTGTGGTTACGTAGGTCCAACTGTGGTTATGTAGGTCCAACTGTGGTTATGTAGGTCCAACTGTGGTTATGTAGGTCCAACTGTGGTTATGTAGGTCCAACTGTGGATATGTAGGTCCAACTGTGGTTACGTAGGTCCAACTGTGGTTACGTAGGTCCAACTGTGGTTATGTAGGTCCAACTGTGGTTATGTAGGTCCAACTGTGGTTACGTAGGTCCAACTGTGGTTATGTAGGTCCAACTGTGGTTATGTAGGTCCAACTGTGGTTATGTAGGTCCAACTGTGGATATGTAGGTCCAACTGTGGTTACGTAGGTCCAACGGGTGTACACACGCCTTAAGTCCGTCTGACTCTGATTTGGCTTCTACCAACCTTCTCTCACTTCCACTTCTCTCACTTCCTCTTCTCTCACTTCCTCTTCTCTTACTTCCACTTCTCTCACTTCCACTTCTCTCACTTCCTCTTCTCTCACTTTCACTTCTCTCACTTCCTCTTCTCTCACTTCCACTTCTATCACTTCCACTTCTCTCACTTCCTCTTCTCTCACTTCCTCTTCTCTCACTTCCACTTCTCTCACTTCCTCTTCTCTCACTTCCTCTTCTCTCACTTCCACTTCTCTCACTTCCTCTTCTCTCACTTTCACTTCTCTCACTTCCTCTTCTCTCACTTCCACTTCTCTCACTTCCACTTCTCTCACTTCCTCTTCTCTCACTTCCACTTCTCTCACTTCCTCTTCTCTCACTCCCTCTTCTCTCACTTTCACTTCTCTCACTTCCTCTTCTCTCACTTCCTCTTCTCTTACTTCCTCTTCTCTCACTGGCTCTTCTCTTACTTCCACTTCTCTCACTTCCTCTTCTCTCACTTCCTTTTCTCTCACTTCTTTTCTCACTTTTATTTCCTCTTCTCTCACTTCCTCTTCACTCACTTCCTCTTCTCTCACTTTCACTTCTCTCACTTCCTCTTCTCTCACTTCTCTCACTTTCACTTCTCTCACTTCCTCTTCTCTCACTTCTCTCACTTCCTCTTCCCTCACTTCCTCTTCTCTCACTTCCTCTTCTCTCACTTCTCTCACTTCCTCTTCTCTCACTTCTCTCACTTTCACTTCTCTCACTTCCTCTTCTCTCACTTCTCTCACTTCCTCTTCTCTCACTTCCACTTCTCTCACTTCCTCTTCTCTCACTTCCTCTTCTCTCACTCCCCCTTCTCTCACTTCCTCCTCTCTCACTTCCTCTTCTCTCACTTTCACTTCTCTCACTTCCTCTTCTCTCACTTCCTCTTCTCTTACTTCCTCTTCTCTTACTTCCTCTTCTCTCACTGGCGCTTCTCTTACTTCCACTTCTCTCACTTCCTCTTCTCTCACTTCCTTTTCTCTCACTTCTTTTCTCACTTTTATTTCCTCTTCTCTCACTTCTTCACTCACTTCCTCTTCTCTCACTTTCACTTCTCTCACTTCCTCTTCTCTCACTTCTCTCACTTTCACTTCTTCTCTCACTTCCTCTTCTCTCACTTCTCTCACTTCCTCTTCCCTCACTTCCTCTTCTCTCACTTCCTCTTCTCTCACTTCTCTCACTTCCTCTTCTCTCACTTCTCTCACTTTCACTTCTCTCACTTCCTCTTCTCTCACTTCTCTCACTTCCTCTTCTCTCACTTCCACTTCTCTCACTTCCTCTTCTCTCACTTCCTCTTCTCTCACTCCCCCTTCTCTCACTTCCTCCTCTCTCACTTCCTCTTCTCTCACTTTCACTTCTCTCACTTCCTCTTCTCTCACTTCCTCTTCTCTTACTTCCTCTTCTCTTACTTCCTCTTCTCTCACTGGCTCTTCTCTTACTTCCACTTCTCTCACTTCCTTTTCTCTCACTTCTTTTCTCACTTTTATTTCCTCTTCTCTCACTTCTTCACTCACTTCCTATTCTCTCACTTTCACTTCTCTCACTTCCTCTTCTCTCACTTCTCTCACTTCCTCTTCTCTCACTTCCTCTTCTCCGTCTCTGTTCTGCAATTTGACTAAAAATACCCCCCACATTAGTTTCCATTATTAATGCAGAGAGACGCCCCCAAAAAAAACCCATCCAGCCTGAGTTCTGAGCCTCCCACTGCTGCTGCAAAAGGCCCAGACGAAGCTGATAAAGGACGTCTGTATACATCGGTATACGTCTGTATACTGATGAAGCTGATAAAGGACGTCTGTATACATCTGTATACGTCTGTATACTGATGAAGCTGATAAAGGACGTCTGTATACATCTGTATACGTCTGTATACTGATGAAGCTGATAAAGGACGTCTGTATACATCTGTATACGTCTGTATACTGATGAAGCTGATAAAGGACGTCTGTATACATCTGTATACGTCTGTATACTGATGAAGCTGATAAAGGACGTCTGTATACATCTGTATACGTCTGTATACTGATGAAGCTGATAAAGGCCGTCTGTATACATCTGTATACGTCTGTATACAGATGTATACGTCTGTATACTGATGAAGCTGATAAAGGACGTCCGTCTGTGTACGGATGAAGCTGATAACGGACGTCTGTGTACGTCTGTGTACGTCTGTGTACGTCTGTGTACGGATGAAGCTGATAAAGAACGTCTGTGTACGTCTGTGTACGTCTGTGTACGTCTGTATACGTCTGTATACGTCTGTGTACGTCTGTGTACGTCTGTGTACGTCTGTATACGTCTGTGTACGTCTGTGTACGTCTGTGTACGGAGGTGTTCGTGGGTGAAAAGCAGAAGACGACTCATGAGACACAGCTGCAGTGACAGCGATCAGTGAAATATTGATCAACACAGAAGAGTCAAATACATCCATCAGATAAACAAGGAAACACCAGTGTGTGGGAGAGGACCAGCACGAGACTAGGAGAGGACCAGCACGAGACTAGGAGAGGACCAGCACGAGACTAGGAGAGGACCAGCACGAGACTAGGAGAGGACCAGCATAAGACTAGGAGAGGACCAGCACGAGACTAGGAGAGGACCAGCACGAGACTAGGAGAGGACCAGCACGAGACTAGGAGAGAGGACCAGCACGAGACTAGGAGAGGACCAGCACGAGACTAGAGAGGACCAGCACGAGACTAGGAGAGGACCAGCACGAGACTAGGAGAGGACCAGCACGAGACTAGGAGAGGACCAGCATAGACTAGGAGAGGACCAGCACGAGACTAGGAGAGGACCAGCAGAGACTAGGAGAGGACCAGCACGAGACTAGGAGAGGACCAGCACGAGACTAGGAGAGGACCAGCACGAGACTAGGAGAGGACCAGCACGAGACTAGGAGAGGACCAGCACGAGACTAGGAGAGGACCAGCACGAGACTAGGAGAGGACCAGCACGAGACTAGGAGAGGACCAGCACGAGACTAGGAGAGGACCAGCACGGGAATTAGAGAGGACCAGCACAAGACTAGGAGAGGACCAGCATAAGACTAGGAGAGGACCAGCACGAGACTAGGAGAGGACCAGCACGACACTAAGAGAGGACCAGCACGAGACTAGGAGAGGACCAGCACGGGAATTAGAGAGGACCAGCACAAGACTAGGAGAGGACCAGCATAAGACTAGGAGAGGACCAGCACGAGACTAGGAGAGGACCAGCACGACACTAAGAGAGGACCAGCATGAGACTAGGAGAGGACCAGCACGAGACTGGAATAAAGACAGGAGAGGACCAGCACGAGACTGGAATAAAGACAGGAGAGGACCAGCACAACACTAGGGCGGCACGGTGGCTCCTCTCAGCAAGGAGGTCCTGGGTTCGAATCCCGGCCAGACCAGGGCCTTTCTGAGTGGAGTTTGCATGTTCTCCCCGTGTCTGCGTAGGTTTCCTCCGGGTGCTCCGGTTTCCCCTACCACTAAAAATATGTACAATAGGTCAGGCATGTGCCTCCTGTACTGGCCCCACTCCCAACAATTGTAAACCGCTTTGAGACTCCGATGTGCAGTGAAAAGGCGGTATATAAATAAAAGCTTACTTACTTACTTACTTACACTAGGAGAAAGACAGGAGAGGACCAGCACAACACTAGGAGAAAGACAGGAGAGGACCAGCACAACACTAGGAGAAAGACAGGAGAGGACCAGCACAACACTAGGAGAAAGACAGGAGAGGACCAGCGCAACACTAGGAGAAAGAGAGGAGAGGACCAGCACAACACTAGGAGAAAGACAGGAGAGGACCAGGCAACACTAGGAGAAAGACAGGAGAGGACCAGCACAACACTAGGAGAAAGACAGGAGAGGACCAGCACAACACTAGGAGAAAAGACAGGAGAGGACCAGCACAACACTAGGAGAAAGACAGGAGAGGACCAGGACAACACTTGGAGAAAGACAGGAGGAGGACCAGGACAACACTAGGAGAAAGACAGGAGAGGACCAGCGCAACACTAGGAGAAAGACAGGAGAGGACCAGCACAACACTAGGAGAAAGACAGGAGAGGACCAGCACAACACTAGGAGAAAGACAGGAGAGGACCAGCACAACACTAGGAGAAAGAGAGGAGAGGACCAGGACAACACTAGGAGAAAGACAGGAGAGGACCAGGACAACACTAGGAGAAAGACAGGAGAGGACCAGCACAACACTAGGAGAAAGACAGGAGAGGACCAGCACAACACTAGGAGAAAGACAGGAGAGGACCAGGACAACACTAGGAGAAAGACAGGAGAGGACCAGCACAACACTAGGAGAAAGACAGGAGAGGACCAGCACAACACTAGGAGAAAGACAGGAGAGGACCAGCACAACACTAGGAGAAAGACAGGAGAGGACCAGGACAACACTAGGAGAAAGACAGGAGAGGACCACACTAGGAGAAAGAGAGGAGAGGACCAAGACAACACTAGGAGAAAGACAGGAGAGGACCAGCACAACACTAGGAGAAAGAGAGGAGAGGACCAGCACAACACTAGGAGAAAGACAGGAGGACCAGCACAACACTTGGAGAAAGACAGGAGAGGACCAGGACGACACTAGGAGAAAGAGAGGAGAGGACCAAGACAACACTAGGAGAAAGACAGGAGAGGACCAGCACAACACTAGGAGAAAGACAGGAGAGGACCAGGACAACACTAGGAGAAAGACAGGAGAGGACCAGGACAACACTAGGAGAAAGACAGGAGAGGACCAGGACAACACTAGGAGAAAGACAGGAGAGGACCAGGACAACACTAGGAGAAAGACAGACGGGGACCAACACAACACTAGGAGAAAGACAGGAGAGGACCAGGACAACACTAGGAGAAAGACAGACGTGGACCAACACAACACTAGGAGAAAGACAGGAGAGGACCAGCACAACACTAGGAGAAAGACAGGAGAGGACCAGGACAACACTAGGAGAAAGACAGGAGAGGACCAGGACAACACTAGGAGAAAGACAGAAGTGGACCAACACAACACTAGGAGAGGACCAGGACAACACTAGGAGAAAAACAGGAGAGGACCAGGACAACACTTGGAGAAAGACAGGAGAGGACCAGGACAACACTAGGAGAAAGACAGGAGAGGACCAGGACAACACTAGGAGAAAGACAGGAGAGGACCAAGACAACACTAGGAGAAAGACAGGAGAGGACCAGCACAACACTAGGAGAAAGACAGGAGAGGACCAGGACAACACTAGGAGAAAGACAGGAGAGGACCAGGACAACACTAGGAGAAAGACAGGAGAGGACCAGGACAACACTAGGAGAAAGACAGACGTGGACCAACACAACACTAGGAGAAAGACAGGAGAGGACCAGGACAACACTAGGAGAAAGACAGACGTGGACCAACACAACACTAGGAGAAAGACAGGAGAGGACCAGGACAACACTAGGAGAAAGACAGGAGAGGACCAGGACAACACTAGGAGAAAGACAGAAGTGGACCAACACAACACTAGGAGAGGACCAGGACAACACTAGGAGAAAGACAGGAGAGGACCAGGACAACACTAGGAGAAAGACAGGAGAGGACCAGGACAACACTAGGAGAAAGACAGAAGTGGACCAACACAACACTAGGAGAGGACCAGGACAACACTAGGAGAAAAACAGGAGAGGACCAGGACAACACTTGGAGAAAGACAGGAGAGGACCAGGACAACACTAGGAGAAAGACAGAAGAGGACCAGCACAACACTAGGAGAAAGACAGGAGAGGACCAGGACAACACTAGGAGAAAGACAGGAGAGGACCAGGACAACACTAGGAGAAAGACAGGAGAGGACCAGACAACACTAGGAGAAAGACAGGAGAGGACCAGGACAACACTAGAAGAAGACAGGAGAGAGCAGGACAACACTAGGAGAAAGACAGGAGAGGACCAGGACAACACTAGGAGAAAGACAGGAGAGGACCAGCACAACACTAGGAGAAAGAGAGGAGAGGACCAGCACAACACTAGGAGAAAGACAGGAGAGGACCAGGACAACACTAGGAGAAAGACAGGAGAGGACCAGGACAACACTAGGAGAAAGACAGGAGAGGACCAGGACAACACTAGGAGAAAGACAGGAGAGGACCAGGACAACACTAGGAGAGGACCAGGACAACACTAGGAGAAAGACAGGAGAGGACCAGGACAACACTAGGAGAAAGTGAGGAGAGGACCAGGACAACACTAGGAGAAAGACAGGAGAGGACCAAGACAACACTAGGAGAAAGAGAGGAGAGAACGAGGATGTAATTAGGACTTTTGTCAATTTGTGGCTTCTCCAAATGTTCAAAACCAAATGTTAAATCCAGTCTCAAACCGCTTCAAACCTCAGATTGAAGGTTTCTGTGTGAACGTGCCACAGCTGCTTCCTCTTTCACTGCACTTAGGACAAAACCTCCACATTTCCCACAATCACATGAAGCGTTTGAAGAGAGCGTCCTGAAAGTGACATCTGCTCCATCAAAACCTCCTCCACGGCTCTGGGAGAATCTGGGCTGATTTCTGCGGAAAAAGACACGGATTCTTCTCTCTTTCCTCAAAAAGACTCTCAAAGATAAAGATTGATTGTGTC